AAACATAGAAATAGATATAATTACATAGATCTGTATAGAGTTAGAAACAGGCTTTATATACAACTTGTCAATAATCAACATTTTAGGACCCTATTCAGTGCAAGGCAGATGAACACTCACACGGGGCACTGCATCTGGCTGCAACTCAGAGGAACTTTTATTCTCTGTGGACCTTGTACTTCTATTTGGTTTACTTGACAGCGATATTCCTTTGCCTGTGGAATTTGCTGCTGCTAAAAACCTATCATTTCTGATGTCTCTAAACCCCAGTAAATGCAGATGGCTTATTACAGTGTAGGTCCTGTGACCTTACAACCATTTTCAGCCTGGGCTCACCAGCTACTAGAGCCTTTCCACAGCAGCTGCACTGCCTGCAAGCACTGAACTTCCAGAACCTGTATCCCTTTCCTGGGATGTGTATATCCCCTACAAATTACATACACTTGCAAGCCAGAGCCTCGCAGCCAAGAGGTAATGCTGCCCCTTCAGCCTGCCTGTAACATTGACCTTCTCCACTGTGGTGGATATGGCTACAGCTTATCCCAGTGGCAGATATGAACAGATACGGGGGGGAAGTTTAGCACAGCATTTCCAACCAAGGCTGTTGCTCACATTCAGTGCCATGAGATGAGAATCATTTAGGAACCCAGAATGGGATCTGTAGTGTTTGTGGACTTAAAAGCACTGTTCTTCCAATCCTGCTGCAGATACTGTCTGCCATATCCTTCGATTCTACGGCCTCTTTTATGCTCACATTTGTGGTACAATCTCTGTTGTTCAACAAGTCACCTGGGGCTTTCTCCTTACAGCTTCAGGTGCTGAATTCCCATTAAAGAACTGTTATTCTTGTACTTTTTGGATACACCTTTCTCATTTTCTTTGCAAATTTTGAACATGTTTCTACATCTGTGCTGTGGCTGTTGATTAAAACATTAAAGACAGAATACTCAATAAGCTGTGAGAAACTTCACTATTCATCTCCCTCCTGCTGGGCACCTTCCCTCTAAGCATAACCCATCCTCGTTTCTCACTTAATGAGCTTCTTCCCTTAAAATGCTTCCATTAGATCATCTTTCGTGAATCAAATGGCTTTTTTTCCTTCCTCCATGTTAATTGCAACAAAATGTTATGGGTTCTGACAGAAAATACTACATTTTCTATTCTCCTTTCTATGGTAATAATCTGCATCTTGGTAATTTACAAAGATCTTTCACCTAGGTTTGGATTTTCATGTTGAAGTTATTGGGTTTTTTCTTTAAATACAATCATTGTCATTTCACTATCATCATCCTATCAGTTCCTTCCTGCTTTCTCTACATTTTACATCATCCTCCTTGCCAAAAAACCAAACAAAAACCCCACAACAGAACCCAAAGGTCAAATAATGACTTGGTTTTTAGGCTGAGCTACTGTTCATCTCATGCCAGCGTGGTGTATGTGCCTCATTCTTCGTTTGAAGAGTTTTTCACTGCTCTACTTTGCTTCATGAGGCTTAATTCATCCCGACCTCTCTTCCCCCATTTCTCTCCTGTCATCTGTGGTTTTTCTCTGCTATTCCTTTCCTCTGTAACGCCTTGCTGGAAAGCTCATCCCCTTCTCATTTGGAATGCAATTTCTGAGCAGTTTTTTTACTTAGATTTCATTATTCTTCCACTTTGAAAAATCTGTGCTGCTCAAAGTGATTTCCATAAATGGTTCTTTTAATATCTCACAGTTTGATCTCTCATATCTTTCCCAAATTAAAGAATCCTGGTATGTATTGTCATATAAAAACCCGAACTACCTTCTTGTCATATGAAAACCATGCTTTATCTTCGATCATTCTTGTTGCCTTCTTCCACTTACATAATAAATCCCTTTTGAGATGGGAGGACCAGGGCTACAGGCAGTATTCAAGATGGAATTGCTTTTTTTCAGCATATACTATTATCTAGTTTAGGAGTATTTTTTTACCCTCACCTGCATTTATCATCTATTTGCATTTATTAAAACCAAACTCTATCTCTTGTTCTATCATTGTCATAAGATCCTTCAGCATCTTCTTTGCAGTCAGTTTCATTATCTCACAGCAATGAGTAACGCTGTGGCCTCAGCAAACTCTTTGGAATGGATGCTACAGTTCCCTTCTGAACAGCTGAAGTCTCATTGAACAATGAGATTGTAAATGCCAATAACTGCATTTACACTGTGAAAACTGAGCTTTTTTCTTTCCTCAACTTTTAACAAGTTACTAATTCATAGAATCATAGACTCACAGAATGGTTTGTGTTGGAAAGGACCTTAAGATCATCCAATTCCAACCCCTGCCATGGGTAGGGACACCTCACACTAGACCATGTTGCCCAAGGCTCTGTCCAACCTGGCCTTGAACACTGCCAGGGTTGGAGCATTCACCACTTCCTTGGGCAACCTAATCCAGTGCCTCAGCACCCTCACAGTAAAGAACTTCTTCCTTATCTCTAACCTGAACTTCCCCTGTTTCAGTTTGAACCCATCACCCCTTGTCCTATCACTACAGTCCATGAAAACCTTTCTTTTCCTACAACAAGGTTGGTTTCTTTAAGGCCTTTGATAGTAAATTATATCAAATCAAAGTAAACCATATCAATTGGATGCCCTTAGGCCACATGATTCTGCTCAACGTTTTCAAATTGCTTAAAAAGTTGAGGCATAACCTCCAAAAGCTGAACTAACTCTTCCTTCTTGTATCATACGAAGACAGGCTGAGAAAGTTGGGGCTGTTCAGCCTAGTGAAGAGAAGCTGCGTGGAGATCTCAGAGCAGCTTCCAGTGTCTGAAGGGGGCTACAAGGATGCTGGAGAGGGACTCTACATCAGGGACTGGAGTGATAGGACAAGGGGTGATGGGTTCAAACTGAAACAGGGGTGATTTAGGTTAGGTGTAAGGAAGTTGTTCTTCCCTGTGAGGGTGCTGAGGCGCTGGCACAGGGTGCCCAGAGAAGCTGTGGCTGGCCCATCCCTACAAGCGTTCCCCCTGGCGGTGTTCAAGACCAGGTTGGACACAGGGGCTTGGAGCAACCTGCTCTAGTGGAAGGTGTCCCTGCCCATGGCAGGGGTTGGAGCTGGATGGTCCTTTCCACCCCAAACCATTCTCTGATTCTGTATTTACCAGTGTTCATGAATTCTGTTATTATTAAGGTTCATATAATAAAAATTCATCAAAACTCAATCTAAATTATACACAGGTCCCAAACTCCTCCTTCTAAAACCTTAAATAAACCATTGTCTTTGCTACTTCTTTTCAGTTCAAAGACTTTCTAGCAGTATTTTTGATCTTTATTTTAACAGCTCAACAGTTTTATATTTGTTCTTTCAGAACACTTTGTTGAGAGCTGCCAGATCTTAGAAATGGATTTAAGCTTTTTCTGATTTGAAATCCTTCAAATAACCTTTGAGCAAAACATGATTTAGAGCCCCTCTGCCTTCCTCCAGAAGAACTTGGTTCCTAAAGAGACAGGTATCAGTAGCACATGACCATGAATTCAACAACACCCTGTACAACTCTTCAGGATTACAGAATACTGACAAACACAAGCAAACCAACCTCGAGTTTGTACTGTGGGGCTGTCATGTGTAACTAGGGATTGTAAACTGTCATCTTCCTCCTGAAGTAGTGATTAATATTGTCATGTATGACACATATGAAATGGCTGTTTTATTTAAGTAAAGAAGCAAGTTTCAAGTTCCTATTAGTTATGCTCACACTTCAAAAATAAATACAAGCAGTAATGTTAACACACTTCCAAACACTGGTACACAGTTTCTCAAAGCCAGGAGGAAGAAGTAACAATAGGATTTAGCAAGTGCTCTTGCATGCAGCATGGAAGAAAATAAATCAAAGACAATAAAACCCAAACCCCAAACCTTCTGTTTTCTGACTAGAAGTAGTAGCTGAAGTCCTGAGTGGCAGGAGTGGAGGAAAAGGTCCTAAAACACTCCTCTACCTACTTCCATCAACTAAAGTTGTTGGGCTACATTTTTACCTGACTTAATAAGATTCTCTCTTTACAGTGTATGTTCACTGCTTCAGTCTTCAGACATTTGAAGATTGTCAGCATTTAGGAAGAATGATTTGACAAGATCATGATTTGATCTCTTCAAAGTAAAATGGAGTTGAAAGAGCAGTTTTGGGGCTTGGTTACACAGCACATACAAGATCTGCAGCGTAACTTACTCTACTGGCCCGCTCTTCTACTTGTCTGCAAGTGCTACAAATCTCTGCGAAGTTTTAAGTGGCCCCTCTCAGTGTTTTTTTGAGGTGTTTTCTCCACTATAGGGAGAGCAACTGCAATACTGTTAATATTTTAGTTACACAAAGTAGTCGAGCTCGTGAAGCACCTTGTTTCCCCTCACAATTCAGCTCACTTAAGTGGGCAGAAGACAAACCCCATGGGAAGAGAGAGGAATGAACAGATTCACTTGGCCATATGGTCTAACTGCACAACAAGTTGCCTTCCTAGCAGCTGCTCTGCGAAAAACACTCTGAGGTCTCGCACAACAAACCCTTGTCTATTCATTGCCATCCTACAAGATGTTGCAGGAACAGACCCCACAAGTACTGAAATGTTTGTATGAAACCAGCAGACACTGATAATGGCAAATTACTACTCCAAAATCTTACCTGGCTTTGCCAGCATGTAGGAAGAGCTGGACAGAAGACCTCAGCACTTACCAATGCAGGATACAAGACGTTGTTATTAAACAGTGGTTGCAGTTCATTTTATAAACAGAGGTGTACTGATGTCACACAAGGCTAGAATAAATATGATTAATATAAAAGTAAACTATTTTCTGGTGGAAATTAATAATTGGATCTTTCCTACTGGAAAATAGACAAAATTTCTGCACTGGAAAGACTGTTAAGCTCAAAGGTTAAAATTCACAGTTTCGTATCAGTAGAAAAGGAGCAAGTTTTTGTTTGGTGTCTATTTCACTGCCAGCAATGAAATAGGTTCCTGAGCCTCAGGCCATCTGCCTGCCTTCAGTCAGCTTCCTCATCGCTGGGTTTCTCTTCTGAATCATCACTTTCATACTCCTCATCCTCATAGCCAAAAGCACCCTCATCTTCAGGGTCAGACTGACCTTCCTCTTCATGCTCATGGGGCTGGTCAGACCGAGAGCTGGGTCTTGACTGATCATCATCCTCTTCCTGGGAATGGCTGAGTGACCGGCCTGCCTTTGCCTTTGCTTCCGCTTCTTCCTCTCCCTCCTCCTCCTCTTCTTCTTCATGGTGCTGGTCAGAGGTGGGGCTCAGCTCAGCTGCCCCTGCATGGCAAGGCTCATGAGCATAAGGGCTGGCTCTCGCCTCTTCCTCATCCTCCACCTCACTGGACTGGCCATCCTGGGTAGGGATCTTGACACCTTTTCTGTTCTCCTCCTCCTCCTCCCAGGAGTGCTCAGACCGAGGACTGCTGTCAGCTGCTTCCTCAAAGGATTCCTTTTCCTTCACTTTATCCTTGATGACTCTGAAAAGACAATTTGCATGTGTGATTTTACTTGCAGGTAAGATTCCCTCCAGCAGGTTTTAAACAACCTTCAGGTAATCTAGGACAAATCCTGGTAGTCTTGGCTGGGGTGGAAACGGGGAAGGAAAAGGGAAGGGAGGGACACTAAAGTCTGCTTTTATGGTAGAAAATAACTCAACAGTATTGCTTAGATATTTCAATTCTTTCATTTATGCTTTCTTTTGTATCATAACACCTAATGGATATTGATAAGTGGGTTTTGTAAGACTTACTTTAACAATTCAGTGAAGGTAACGCAGAATGAAGTGACTTACTAGCAACCTGCCAGAGTTTTTGGTGAAAGAAATAAATAAAGAAGGTTTTTCTTCTGTTTTCTTTGAAGGACATTACAGAACATATCCAGTGATCTCCTATGTTTTATGAAATCACATTTAATTCAGGTAAAACAACAGAAGATACATACTAATGCTAAGTACAGTCAGGTGGTTACACAGGAAATACTACAAATAAGTAAAACAAAGAGAGAAACCTACACATCAAAAATTACTTTCTATTTACTAGGTAGGGGGAAGCCTTCAGTAATCTCTACCTTTCTCTGGCATCAGTGGAGTAATTAAAATCTTCAGCACTGGAGTATTGTAGTAATTTAGTTGTTTGTCCTTTCCTCGAAACAAACTCTGGGCATATCCCCAGTGCTCTCAGTCTGTTAGAATAATGCTTTTCTGCAGCTATTCTGGCATTTTGCTGTAGGAAAACCACAATGGTTATGTGTTATCTAAATGCATTCAATGCCTGTCTTTTGATACTTTATTTACAGTAATATTCCATTTCATTAATTGCATCTGGCAAGTGGAATGAATATACACTGTAGGTTAAGAATGGCAAAGCAATGCTTGGAAACTTTACACCAGATCTTCCTTTTTTGTACTAGTTTAGGTCTGGTTTACTCCTTGTGCCCACTGGCTAATGAAGAGCTTTATATTCTCTATAGAGCTCTTGAGGGAGGAGTGAGAAGATGCGGCCATGTAGAAGAAATGCCCTAAACCAGCAGTATTCACCTTACAGTGCTACTTAACAGATTACACACGTGTACCTCTGCTTTCTGAAACTGAGGGTGTAATTCTGTTCCACCAGGTAAGATCTGAGTGAGGAGGACTTGTTCTCCAACCTACATGGATGCTCCTGCCACGTAACCCAGGAAACCCACACAGACAGAAGGGACAAGGGAACCACTGATTTATGACGTGCTGCCTCTCTGGGTATGGAAACAGGTCAGAGACCACACTACCAGCAGGTGGTTGTAATGAAATAGAGAGAGAAAAATCTACACTGCAGCTGAGCTTTATAGTAGACACTTAATACCTGAATTCCCTCATCACTTCTTTCCCAACTTAAAACCCTTGCATTTCTTTCTGTCATTTTTTGTTGTGTTTAAAGTTACTCGTGTTGTAACTGAATTGGACATGTCTACAACAGCCATCTCAGTTCCCTGGGCAAGCAAGTCATGAGTGCTTAGTCCCAAAAATTAGTCATATTTATATGCAGCTGAGGCAACAGTGATTAGAACGGACAAATACAGGTCTGAAAGGTATTTTTCAGGTATCTTCTAAAAATGTTTGACTACAAATGTCTTCTGCAGTATCTGAAGATGCGATTAAGAAGTAACACAGAAGCAAGACAACCTGAGTGACTCTTTCAAAAAGCAATGGCCTTTGTTTTACTCTTTCTTCCATTTCTTGCAACTCTTGCAGATATTCTTGCATTCTCTGCTTCTCATAATTCCTAAGGGAAATAGAGTACAAGAGAAATGATTAGTAATTTCTAATACAAGAAGTCATTTTCTACAGCAGCTCAACTGCTCGTAACAAACTAAATGTTCTCCTACTTAAAGGTACATAAAAAGTGAGTTATTTTATGGTGGTTACAGGGTCTGAGGTGTATTGTCTCATTTCACAGCAACTGCTTGTCTGTAAGTACTGAACAAAACTGGCTGGGATGTCGTCGCTTTGGATAAGCAGAGAGAGGTCCTGGCTAGTGAGGTTAAATAGAGGCTGTCTCAGTTTGGATTCTTCAGGTTATTTGGGATACTTAAGTTTTTTAAATGCTGATTTCATACAGATATTGTTTGTTCAAAGCAATATTAAGCAGAATGCACCATAGGAAATTAGTACCATTAAACAAAAATCAGTACTTTAAGGTAAAAGTTTGATGGTAGAAAGAAACTCGTTACTTTTCCAGTCTATCTCACAAGAGGGGCAGCCACATTCTGGATCATAGAATCTGGTTTGTGTCAGAAGGGACCATCAGTTCCAACCCCCTGCCACGGGCAGGGACACCTTCCACTAGAGCAGGTTGCTCCAAGCCCCCGTGTTCAACCTGGCCTTGAACACTGCCACGGATGGGGCAGCCACAGCTTCTCTGGGCACCCTGTGCCAGTGCCTTCATAGGACGGTATTTTCCTAGTTGGTTTGTCAAGGGCCCAGTCAGTGCAGCAGGATGATGAAATACCTCAGATCATAGCAAGCACCAGATAATCCAGGTAATGGGCTGTAATCCTTGGTGCGTGGCAAAGACACCTCTTTGTGGTGTTGGCTCTGTACTGGGCCAGCGCCAGCATTACCAGGTCAGACACTTAAGGTCAAGTATGAGATCTATGGCACACTGACACTTGCGTCTCCTGCTGCCTCCTTCCCTTACCATCCTCTGAACTTCTGCAGTATAGCTGTGCATTAAAGCAAGTTATTCACCACTTGGAGGGGGTGAACGTCATTGTTGCTATTTGCTTGCTCTCTCAGGCAGCTTTCTACAAACCCAATTATCTGTTAGAAGAGCACTTACATTAATGTACCTTATTACCCAGCCTATGCTGAAAAAAGCATTATCAAGTTAAGCACTTGCACCAGCCTTAATGCATCAGCACTAGGGGAGGAATCGTGCTTTGTAACAGCATAATTTTATGTGCAGACAAGAATTAAGCACGAGTGTTTTACAATACGCCTCAAATCTGATTAAGCTGAAGACTGTAATGTCAAGTTTGCTGTCGAATGAACTCAGATCACATCTTGTAAACACACCCACTGCCTCTCTTGATTCTCCACCTTGCTGCTGTAACTCAGGTTGCTTTCTGCTTCTGTCCTAGAGTCAGCAGATCATCTACCCAAGCACAATGACATTATAAAGCTCCTGTAACTAACAGTACCTGCTGGTCACGTTACAAAAGCAACTGTGCTTGAGCTCTGACTCTTAACAGTCAGAAGACACTGCCCTCTTTGACCTGCATCTCTACCACTGCTGCTCTGCTGCCCACGACCCTGTGTAAGTCCTGCTTCTGCCCATGTGTGCTTTGACTAAAGGCCTTACCTCCACCCTCATTGCAGAAAGATCTCTGGCCTGGACTGACCATAATCTGAACATCTTAAGGTTCAGTATGGTAACTCTGAAGTTGCTAGTCCAAGCTATGAATCTCATGATCAGGCCTATCTCATGATCATTCATGAGTGGAAGGTGTCCCTCCTCATGGCAGGGGTTGGAACTGGATGATCTTAAGGTCCCTTCTAACCCAAACCATTCCATGATTCACCCTTGTACTGTTTTGCCCTATCACTGTCAGTTACTGGCTATTTGCCTGATTACTGGAAATCAGGATTCACAGACACTGTCCAAGGATCCTGCCTATGCACGAAGCAACATGGGCAGCACAGTCAGTACCTCTCACTGTCACCATGTAACACCACCTTAAATGGCTGATACTGCTGCAGTGCCGTGCGCCAGGAGAGATGATAAACCTCACTAGAGACTCATTCAAACAGGACTCATTTTGGGGGTTTATTTTCTAGGATTAAAAAGAACAAGAAACAGAAATGAAAAGCAGAAACAGGAGGTCAAGCAGCAATTCTGGAGTCAGATGAGCACCAGGGAGCTGGAGCCATCCAGACTGCCTGCTTACAGCACACTGAGAAGGCCCTGGTGCTTATTCCTTGAGTACTACTTTTCCTCAAAGCTTACAGAAACAGCCTTTGAGTCTGTATCTCTACTACAGGTAACTCTGGATCCCATTCCCCCTAAGCACCAGCAGCTTCTGGGATAGCTGCTGACACATGTGCTAAGTTGAAATAATATTCCTGCTGTAACATTCCCTTTTAAGTGGGGACCTGCTGGGACAAAGTGGTGAATTGTGACTTGTTCATTACCCTACAACACAGCGCACACCAAAGTTGTACCAGCACCTGACAATCCTGCAGTACAAGGACATTCTGTAAGTACTCTTTTCCTTTTCCTTTTGATTTACTGAAGTTTTTCCTCTTTAGTTGATCTGGCAATTGAGAAAACACAGGAATCTCCTGTTACCTGATCTGTAATACTATAAAGATCAAAATCATGAGGACAGGCATAAATTTCCCAGCTGGAATACTACATTTGGCCACTTGTTTTACTAGCTGCTTGTAGTGTATGATGTAGCAAATGTGCAGTCACACAGACTTGGACTATGCTATATTTTACATTGTATGTCTCTCATACAATGTAGAATGAGAGCTTCAGGATCAGGTGAATGCAAGAAGATACCTGAATGTTCTTAATTTGGATTTAGACACCTGAGCAAGGCTCTGATGGGGATCATTGGCCTCAGCCCGAGTGGTTACAATTTTCTGGAGTCTTTTTGTTCTTTGTTTCTGCTTTGTTCTGGTCCTTTTCTGTTGTTCTTCCAGCTTTCTCTTTTCCTCAAGTGAACTCCTGGTGGAAACATAAACTAAGGCTGAATTCATTTTGAACCAAGAGAAGGACTTCAAAGGAAGCTTTGGCAAAGAGAAGAGCAGGGGGAAGACAGGGTGGGTGTAGGACGACACAAGGTATGTGCCATTTTAAGGCAGTCAGGGGTATCCTGGGAAGCAGCAGGCATTTCTCCCTTCCCTGTGCACACGCTGAGAAAAATGCACTCCTGTGTCTTTAACAATCATAAAATACTTAAACACAGAAATTAATATTGAAGTTGTCTATCAGAATTAAGCCCTTATATGACTATACATCAAGACCTATATCCACTGCATGGAAGGATTAACTACATCTATAGACAGACAAAACAAGAGTGCACTTAAAGTGCATCCAGAATGTAGAGCACCACTGCAGTAGTCACCTTATGGCGTGTAGCCGCCGTCTGGTGGATTCTGTGGCTTTTGGTGATTTAGATCCTCCAAAATGTGAATTTGCCCTCGAATGTCTCATCTGGGGTTTACGTCTCGGAGAGACATATGGCCAGCGTGTTTCTTTCAGCTTTTCTTCATCTGCTTCAATGTCCTGCAATATCTTCCCCTTGTTTGAAGGAATACACGGAGTACGAAGACCAAAAGGTTCACAGACTGTCAGGTGCTTCACTTGTTTCTGCTGCAGGAGCCGCTGCTGAAATCTCTGGTGCAGCAGTTCAAAGTCTGGAACACTTGATTTGAGCCGGGGTTTACGCTCCGTCTGCTTTGGTTCACTGCACTTGGGTTTCTTCTTTTTACTGGTGTCTTTTAACGCCAGCCTGCTGTTGGGGAGAGACGAATTACGCAGCAGCTCCTCAGCTCGCATTCTGATCCTGATCTCCCTGTAGAGCTCCTCCTCCTTCAGCTTGTCATTAACAGCCGGGCTATAAACACATCTAGGAACTGGTTTTGCTTTGAACAGTCCTGGTTTCTTTTCAGGTGCAGAAAGGTCTCTCAGCTGCATTTTCCTCATCTCATTCCTTTGCTTCTCTCGCTCAATGAATTTAAACGGCTTCTGAGAAGCCAAGAGCTGGAGCCTGCTTCTCTCTTTCACAGACCTCCTGCGTTCCTCATTGCGCCGCACGATTTCATGGTAGAGCGGCAGGAAGACAGCAGCGGGCACCGGGTTAGCTCGGAACTGCTTCTGACACTCTGCTTCCTCCTCCAGCCGCTTCCTCAGTAAGTGGTTTTCCATTTCAACCAGTGACTTCGACTTGATGTTCTGCTCTTTTTTCCTGGCTTCTCTGATAGTCATCTGGAAGGGCTTGGGCACCGTCACTCTGGGTGACCATGCTTTCTGCTTCTTCCCTGCGGTTCTGCAGGCGGGTGAGCTGGGTTTGGTGCGAGGGATATAATCTTCCACAGAGAACCCATCCCACATTTTTTCAATCCGTTGCTTGGCAAATGCAGATGATGGAGTTTCATTCCTGTTTTCTTCAAAGGCTAATTCTCTGTCGGACACATCGGATATACTTGAGCTTAAGGGATCGCTTAAGTCAGAGTCTGAAAAGGATTTGTGCAGATGCAGAGGCTCATACGAGCTCTTCTCCCAAGTTGGCCTTTAAAAGAGGGAAGAAAAAGGTGTTTTGATCCAGCCCAACACTGGTACAAAGGCAGTAACTTCCACTGCAAGGTATCATCATTAGAAACAAAAATGAATGGTGCTGGCGGGGAAGAGGGAATGGGAAGAGAAGGGAAAAGAGAAGCACATGGGGCACTCAGGCCTGATGATAGATTTCAGTCAGCACTTCTTAAGGAAAGGCACCATGCTTTGCTAAACATGCTGCCCAGCCTCTGCTGCACACACACGTGTAACTCTCACAGCCCTTTAGCACGGTGGACAAGCATTTTTAATAATAAAACTAACTTCTCTGTGTTATGCTTAGAGGAAATGGGGAGAGTAACACCTTCCAGCCCCAGAAAACAAAACCCAACCTGCTGATTTAGAGATGCCTGCAAAGCATTTCACCACAGAATCACAGCATCGTTTGGGTTGGAAGAGACCTTAAAGCTCATCCAGTTCCAACCCCCTGCCACAGGCAGGGACACCTTCCACTAGACCTTCAGATAAAAGGCACCACCAAACTTACCTACAGCACATCCCAGCAGCAGCATTTTTCTTGCCCAAGGGTTGCTCTCTCTTCAAATACAGCTTATTCCGATACATACTTTCCAGCCTGGCCATGGTCTCCAAGTGGGCATTCTTCAGCTCCTCCAGCTTCAAGTAATACTCTTGGTTTGAATGGTGCATTTTGGAAACGTCTATCTGCTTGTCACAGTCTCCATTTAGAGGCAGGGGCTGCTCTCTGTTGGTGCTTGAATCCAAATCAAACCCATCCTACAAGAGAGATGTTTGCAAAGCATTCTGATTGTTAGAAGAAAGGGGAACAAGGTTCTTAATGTTGCTTTAGCCTAATTATATCTAAGGAATAATGCAGTAACACCAAACAGAGATACCAGGGTACAAATGTTAACGCAATTACATGGAATAATCTTATTGTGTGATAATTTATATCCTACGGGTCCTACTTAGTGCATGTGAAATTCCTAAGTCTGTCCTGTAATCACTAGATTTATACCCGGAAATACAATCAAACCAGTTTAACTGTTTTGTAAATTGTAATTTTACCTTTGATCACTGTGCAGCTCTAGAGAAGCCTTCATTTAAAAGCAAACAAACCCACAGCAGAACCTTCCCTGCCTCCCATTCCCATAAGCATTCTAAAAACCAGCCATCTGGTATTTTGTGTACAAATGTTTACTCCCCTTTCCATAACTTGCTCTGAAACAACAGCGATTCATAGAACCATAGAATGGTTTGTGTTGGAAAGGACCTTCAGATCATCCAGTTCCAACCCCCTGCCATGGGCAGGGACACCTCACACTAAACCATGTCACCCGAGGCTCTGTCCAACCTGGCCTTGAACACTGTCAGGGATGGAGCATTCACCACTTCTCTGGGCAATCCTGCTTACACAAGTTACAGAACTCATTAAAACCACATTACAAAGACTCCCTTTGTCATCCTTAAGCACAATGTTTTAAGAAATTCCAGGACAATTTCTCCATCCAAAATTAGAATAATACTTTTCCACATGGAGATATTTTAATAAGCTTTGACCTTCCAACAAAACATCTCGTTTATGTTTTGTCAGGTTTTCACTGCAAAACTCTCCAACCCGTTTTCCCCCAGCACCGTGGCCTAATGCAACATGATCAAGGAAGCGAGTTTAAAAAGCCGTTACAGAAAGGCACCATCCGCCTCCTCCCGACCCCGTCGCGTATAAACCTCCCGGGTCCCCCCTCGATCCGCAGAGCGATCCCAGGCTCTTCCCGGAGTGGGGCATCACCAGTTCTAAGCCGCCCCAAGCTCATTAAGGGATTGGCGCTGCACAGGCGGGACCAGCTGCCGGTGTTTGTGCCTGTGTCTGTGCCGCACGCCACTGCCAGGAGGTACAAAAGGCTCCCGTGGCTCCGGCGCAGCACCACCGGTGCACGGCGGGTTAAGGCGAGCCCCTCACCCGGCCTCCCTCGTCCCCCCC